TTAAAAGTCACACTTTTAAAACCTACATAAACACCAAGCCACTCCCCCTCTAGCAATCCTGAGATGCTGCGCACGCAGTCAGAGTCGAGTGCACATTCCTTAGCCTACACTTCCCCAGGACCAGTTCTTTGATTTTTAACCCATCAACCTTTTTTTTCCAGATACAGCAAATTTTACTCACTTTTTGAAATGCGCTTCCTGAGTCTTGCCTCTTTAGTTCAGACAGGCATACAATTTGGCTGAGTAAGTTGGTAAACATGTCAATTTGGTTGAAACTTGATTTCCAGTTTTAGTGTGCCACAGCAGTGCCTTATAGCTCTATCTGGGAGATGGATTTTTGGCTGTGAATTTTCATCCATTTATTTCTAAGGGCTTTTGGAAAAGTTAAAGATTAAAGAAACCAAATTACAAGACGGGAACTGGAATATCTAAAAATGCCCACCACCAGAGGACAAATCACGGCAATCTAAATATTCAACAATTGTTGATATTGCTTAAATAAAATGTGAATTAATGTATAAGTACCACACGCTAAGCGATTGCGCCACTGGAGCTCCAAAATGTGAATTAATGGTGATAAGTTATCATTCCCTATTATAGAAAAAAATGGTGTGTTAAGGATACACATTAATAACAGTTTTAAAAAGATATACTATGGGGTCTTTAGTGTCCTTCCATGTGGATAGAAATGTATGTGTATATTCTTATATGTATGTTCTATTTTTAAAATAATTACATACCTTTTGTAGAAAGAAAAAGCTGTATAAAAATTACCAAAAAAGCCTATTCTTAACTCACTGAAGTTATCACTACTCAAAGAAAAATAATCATTAAAATACTGTTAAACAAATTGTTCTTTTTATAAAATTAATATACATAAAAAAATTAATATATATGAAATCCTATTTTTTCTAGTCATTTTATATAATGCCACATTTCTGCGAACTGAAATGTCCTTCCTGGTCACTACACTCTTTTCATGACTTAGAAGTCCACGTTCAATGTCACCTTATTTGATAAGCCGCTCTGTACTCTATATCTGCTCTAGGTCAAGGGTCTATGATAAAGCCTGGCTCACAGACAAAATCCATCCAACACCTATTTTTGTACAGCTCATCAGCTGGGAAGAGTTTCTGCTCCTTTAGAACGGTTAGTTCCTTTAGCATTCCCAATGCTCTGAGGTAGAGAACACTTTCTAATTCAGTGCAGGCTCACCAGCACGGAGCAGGGCCTTGTACATTAAGAGCCACTGAAATAAACTCCCAAGTGCATGAAGGAGCACAGCAAGCTCCCTCCGTGCCCTAGAGCGAAAGGTGCACGAGGATGATGCGCTGTGCCCTCAGTTCACTGCCTTGTGTCCTGAATGAAGAGCCTATGAAGCATCGTAGACATTTTCCACAGAAAACATCTAGGAAGTTCAGGGCATCAAAGATAGTCACATACTTCCGAGTTTTGTAAGCAATCATTTCTGAGATTTTGTATCATGCTCTTTGGTGATTAATGAAAACAAAGCCTCCTTTAAGAGCTTCACAGAACAGAGATGGCTTTAACTTAAGTCATGAAAGAAAGAATTAGGAGATGTTTTCGAGATCTTTTCAAGAGCATACTGATTTACTCTCTTCTTTGGTGCAGCCTGTTACTCTCTTCCCTTCACTCACTGGTAGTAATGGCCCCAGCGCAGGTGTTAAATCAAGATCCTGCTGACACTGGGTTATTAAATATCTGTGACTACAGGACCTGTGAAGCTGAGTGAGACTCCACACTCGGGCCCCATCTCACAGGATGAGGAGTATTTTCAGAGATCAGCGTGCACACATAAATCATATTCTAAATGCTTCATCTGGTCTTGGCCAGGCTGTCCATGAGTGAGCCGCAGGCTCTTTATAGAAAATGAACTAATTAGTTTTCTTACCAGTTGTGTGAGTCTGCAGGAAGGATAGCTTAAGATCCTTGTCCTATATTGTAGAAAGCCCTTCTGGACCTCATCGAGGTCTGGAAGAGTCCACATTTGTAATCTCAGGGAAAAGTTATTGGAATTCCAACAGGTAATTCCAATCTACCATTTCCAGTGCAATCCAATGCAAGAATAAACTGGGGTTTTTATTGTTTTTTTATGGTACCAGGGATTGAACTCAGGACTTTGTGCTTCCCGGGCAAGCACTCATTCTACTGAGCTATCTCCCCAGCCCCTAAAGATTACTTTTGTGTGTGTGTGTGTGTGTGTGTGTGTGTGTGTGCAATGTGAGAATAAAGACACCAAGGCATATTTGTAGCTGTGGGGAGCTAAGGGGGTCCTAAGTACAGCTAGAGCAATGAGTAGCTGGGACCAAGGCCTCCACTCAGGGCCACACTCGGGGCTTTATTAATTCATGAAGAGGGGAGTGACTTGGAGATGAGTGGTTATCAGAGCAACGGAAAGTATGTAAAATGCTGTGAATGGGGTTAGGAGGTGAGGTAGTTCTCTGCAATATGGAGAGAGGGAGGGAGGCAAGGAGGGAGGGAAAAAATGCAGAAAGAGTAAACTGGATAACAAGGTTTGAGGGAGGGCTTGGCTAATGTTTTGGGGTTGGTCCTTCAGCTTTGATGTGTTACCATCATGCCCTGAGACCTCTTTTCTGGAGGCTCTATCTCAGCCAACAGCGACAGCTAGGAGTCTCTCAGCCTAGCTCACTCCTACTAAGGGAGCTACAGGTGAGGCATCACTGGCCTGTCCGTTGCTTTAAAAATAGCACATCAGCACCTTGGCTAGACCTATTTGAATTGCTTCAGGCCAATTAAGGGGATAAACACAACACTCAGCCAGCTCTATACATGGAAATTGGGCCAAGTTTAGCTAAAATGGAGACAATTGCTCTTCTTTCAAGGAGAGCCATCCTGATGGTCCTCCACACTGTGTTGATTACTGATTGTTGTAATACCTTGTGACTTTGGGCATTCAGGCTTGGATTCTGCACAACATTCCCTACAAATGTTTTGATTTAGTAATGAATGTGCTCAGTGTCTAAGCATATTATACATGCCTTACTATAGGTACTACAGTATATTTCTGGATTGAGTGTGAGGCTCTGTATCTTCTTTAAGCCTTGATTTGAGAGAGTCTGGTAAGTACAGTCTCACTTTCCTAAAGTGCCAAAGCAGACTTTTTAAGGCAAAAGAGAATATAGGTGTCTTGCTGCTCACTTCCAAGGAAAAGCCCTGGTCAGTCTCTCCAGACCCGCTAGCTCCGGACAGTACCAGAGTTGGACGTTCCTTCCTCACGCAAGGGGCTGTTGCTTATCCCATGCCTGGGATTCCTGTGCAGTCTTATCGGTGATGAGATTATCTGCAACACTTGCTCCTCAGCCTCAACAGGGTGGAGTTGAAAGCCTTTGCCTCTCATTCCTTCCCTTCTCATACACACAAGGCTCAGGAGAAAGGACATCCTTGTCTTTCTATTCACACACACACACATGCACACACACAAAACATTGCTTTAAAAAATATAAGCTTTCACTTTTTTTTTTCTTTGAACAAGAAAGAACAGCATTGTGAACACTAATGAAGAAAAGTGAAACTACCAAAGTCACATCCAAGGGAAATAGCAACCTCCATGGTGGTGCTAAGAAGGGGTGGCCTTGGGGACATTTACATCTGGATGGAAGGTGTGAAGGGCAGTAAGACAGAACAGCCTGGGCTTTGCCATCAGAAATTACCAGCCTCACACACAACCCTAACTCTTCTGTGCCTCAGTTTCTTCATCTATTATATGGGGATTGTACCTTTTGAGTTTATAAAACATGCATGTGGAAACAGTACAGAAGATGTTGCTTGGCTAACTTTCCCCCACAGAAAGCTGGGGCAGGGACTTAGTGTGGGGGCATCTGAAATCCTCTGTAAATGATTGCATCACTTCTTATTCAGAAAGAGGCTGGCTGAACAATGGAAACAGCCGAGAGGAAAGACTCGAGAACCACTCGAGACATTCTCTAGTGAACTACAATCCTTTTGATTGGAGATAGTCCAAAATTCTGTCCATCAAGCAAGTAATTATTGGACAGGTAGCCCAGTTTGCTTACTAAAGCTGCTGTTCTCAACTGTAGAACACGAAGGATAAATCGCTAATCACACTTAATACAAAAGACTTTAGAAGGGATTTATAGATTTCATAAATTAGCGTGGGAGCCCGAGGATGGTGTAAAGGTAATCTCTGTTACCTCTCTCTCTTATTTGAATGCAGATGTTCCTTCATTGACAAAGTTGTGGAGAAAAATAATAGCTGGGAGTGCAAAGTTATGAGCCTATGTCCCCAGTTGTGTTTGTATTGACAAAAGCACAATTTACATAAACCAAAACTTAATGAATTAATCCCAGAAAAGACCAACTGAACTAAGGCTTGTTCAGGGAGAGTTGTGAAAGAGATCTAGTGATGAATCTTTAACACTAACCTCAAGGTTGCTCTGAATTATGGGGCTTCCTTTTCAGAAACTCTACTATGTCTTATATCCTCCCTGCTAAGAAACTTCCTAATTTTCCACTTTTCCCTTTAAGGAATAGATTTTTAATGATAAGTAAATGAACTGCTTTCTGGCGACCTATCAGACTTGTGGAAATGCAGGAATATGTGAATCTAGGGGACTCTAACATCACTAAATCCAGGATCACAAAGGCCCTATTGGAGTCTTTTCCCATCTTTTTACTACAAAAAGAAGCTTTTTCTTTTCTTTTTTTGTACTGGGAATCGAACTCAGGACTTCACACTAGCCAGACAGGGGCTATGCCACTCAGCTATATCTCTGGCCCCAAAAGAACTTTTCTGGGAAGTTATGGATTCCAGGTCTTAAGAAAGAGATCTAGTCAGGTTTTCTTGGCCATGAGAAAATAAGAAAAGGCAAATGCTAACAATTTAAACTACTTTTGGGTGAAAACATACTATTTTTAATATTCAGAAATGTCACATGCATATGTACTTCACAGATGTATCAACTCAGAAAAATATTAGTTTGACTTTTTAAAAAAGAAAATAAACCTTCAATCCAAATTTATTGAGATTACAAAAATAACATTACATTTCTAAAACTCAGAAAAGTGTAACTCATTAGACATTTCTGTAACTCAATGCATCCCGAGATATGAAGAGGATCTTCCATCGCTCCCTTCCCGTGTCAATCTCACATCATAAAAATGTTTATTTTCATATTTACAGAAGAAACATGCTGATTTTCTCTTAAAATTCTCTTTGGAATTCCCAGGTGAGGCTAGCTTTAAAGGTAGGGAACATTTCAAGAAGATATTTAGAACTATCTCACAACGCAGCTCATTAAATACCACTCAACAGTCCTGAGTCTTCTTCTAGAGACTTTTTATCGCAGAGCTTCCGGAACCTCCACCTACAAAAATAGGGGATGTTTCTTTCAATGAAGCAGCACAAGCAGTAATGTAAAAAAAGAAAGAAAAAAATTAAAAAAGAAGTAGTGCCTGTCTCTGGTAGGGTTTTCTGAGAACTCAAATAGATATTGCTGCATGGTGTTCCCAATTTATGTTATAAATTGGTTTGCAGAACACTTACAAAATTTTCAATGGTTTGTGAGTGCAGACTATAGGCCCTGATTTTCTTTCTCATTTTAAACCTTGGCTGTTTATAGTGTCCTAAAAGGATCCTGGCCCTTAAGGACTGAGGGGCTAAGACCCAGCCTGAGCGTAGACCTCTGAAGCAGAAAGGTGCTCACTCACAGACCTGCCCTAGTGTCCACTCTCGCCCTCCCATATTAAAGTATTTGAAATATTAATGTGAACTTGGAGAAGCAGGAGATTTTGGTAGCACCACGCAGTGAAGGCTGGACCCATCCTTCAAACCTTCTCCCGAATGTCTGTCCCCGGTTACTTACCCTTCTTAGCTGTCTTATGCTGCTTCCCCGAATTGCTTCCATGAGGTTCTCATGAGCTGATCTCTGTGGGGTAGAAGGTCGGGAATTGTCTTCCGTTTTCTTTTCCTGCACTGACCTCAGAGAATTTTTTATTTCCTTTAAGATGTTGTTTGGCTGTTTCTTAACCTTTTTGCCTTTTTTCTTTTTCTGTCCGTTTTGTAGTGCCCGCTGGGCATTCTCCTGTTGTTTGATGACTTCTGCGATGTTGCGGGTGATGAGCTTTTTCTCTGGCAGTGGTGGAGGAGGAGGAGGTGGAGGAGGAGGCAGCAGCTGGGGAGGAGGAGGGGGAGGGGGAGGAGGAGGGGGAGGGACTGCAGCAGGTAGAGGTTGGTTCCGCGCAGTCTGGACTTTCTTGGGGAGTTTGGGGGATGACCAGGGAGAGTGCTTGGGAGATGCGTAAGGTGAAGAGCCTGGTGTTCCTCTTTGCCAGACTTTGGTCCTAAGATTGGATCCTCCATCGTATCCCTCTTGCTGTTTTTGTTCCTGCATCCGCTTTTGCCTCTGCTTATCCATATTTCTTGTTAAAATGCTCGTCATGCTCATTCTTGGCCCCGGGAGCTCGAAATGATACCCCAGCCTCAACAACGTTGTGTTCTCCTTCAGCAGCTTGACGATCTCCATCTCCACCTGGCTGCCCATGATGTGCCTCTGGTTGTGGAAACGCAGCTCTGTGAGCACCGTGTTGTGCTGCAGAGCCCTCATGATGGCCAGGATGCCCTTGCCGGTGATGAAGTTGGACTCAACATTCACACTGGTGATGTGCTTGTTAACCTTGAGCATTTCCGCGATGGCGATGGCTGCACTGTCGTCAGCGTGTGTGTTGGCCAGGCTGAATGTCTTTACCGTCGTGTTGTCCTTCAGGGCTTCCGCAAAGCGGGTGAGGGTCTGTGTTGTGATGTTCTCTATATTATTCAGATTGACTTCTGTGGTGTCAGGGTCATTGTTTTTAATGTTTTCCAAAGCATCCTCAATCACAGTAGGATTTCCACAAGGGTGGATGGCAGCCGGTGACTCTGTCCTCCGCCCACTATTGCCATTGGTCAGATGTATGTCTTCTACTTGACTTCTGAATATCTTTGGCTTAGAGTTTTCAGAATTGACACTATCCCAACTTACAGTTCCATTAACACCTTTTGGGGCTTCAGTGCTTTCCTCCTCTTCACTGTCTTCTTCTTCCTCTTCCTCCTCCTCCTCTTGGAGTTCCTCCTCTTCCTCCTCCGTGTACACGTCCTCAGACACCTCACTGTTACTTTCAGTGAAGATCAGCTCCTCCTCACTCTCCTCTTTGTCTTCCTCTGCAACCTGACGAACACAGTGTCATCATTACATTTTAAGCACATTTTATTTATTTACAGAAGTAACACATAGCAAGTGCCACAGAAAACTAAAATGACAAAATTACCGATGCTTTGCTTCTGTTCTGATTCAGGTGACCAAGGTTAACATTTGCTGCATAACCATGAGCAGCTTTTTCTACAAGCAGTTATTTGGTATAGAGTATCCAGAATTCAAGCTACAGAAAGAAAAGATATTATCATTTGTCAACTTAAATTAGTTAGTTTAAGAAGTGTTTAGGAAACCCTTAGTGCTGCATTCGTTTTCTTGGCCACAGACTCTGTGCTACTTAACTTCTTTGTTTGCTTACATTTCAGCAAATCCAAACTTTTCTTCTGGAACCTTTCTCTGTCCTTTCTTATTTTTCTGTCCCAAACAAATGACAACAAAAATACATGATATTTATTTAATATTCAAAATACTTTACGAAACTTGCTGAGAAAGGCAGATGTGTTGGGAGCTGAGGACTTTCTGTCCCATTTGTCTAAGTGTGGGCAGAACGCAGGGCATCACTTGCTCCTCCACATGTATCCATTTGGTTTCTGTGGGAGAGCCTGGTCTCGGCACTGGGAGATTCCTTTCACCCTTGACCTGCTGCACAGGACAGCAAGAGGTCATCTCTAGCTGGAAGCCTTTCAGGCCACGCCCTTCTCACAAGCAGTGGAAAACCCCAGCAAGCTCAGAGTTAAATGAGATGGACTGCAGGTCCCCAGGTAGGAGAGAGAATCACCCTTGGCACTAGTTACCTTCTGACGATCAATGTGGGTCAACAAAAAGTGGTAGAAAACCTTGAAGCAAGTCATTGCCCAGCCTGGGGTGGTTTTAAACTTATTTAGCATGTGTCAATTAAGAAAGGCTTTGAAAAGAACACAACTGTGCTTGTCTGTTGTACAGAGAAGTCTGAGAGACTCCTTTCTCTTTTAGAAATAATTTAAAAAAAATTGGAAAGTACTAATAGAGTCCAATTTTTTTCATTTTAGTTTTTTCTCTTTGCCTTCCCTGAAGTCTAGAGCCCTCCCTCTTCCCCAAAGCTTTGATTATGCTCTGCATTAGAAAAGGGCTTTTCTGTCTCCCTACCTTCCCTTTCAAGGGCTGCTGCCTGCGGTAAGTGGATAAAGCTTTGGAAAACTCTGCACTTGTCTCCAGGTTTGTTTGCCCAGCTGCTATCATGGAGCAGCTTCCCCTTATCCACTTGTTTGGAGTGGCAGGCACCAGGCAATGGCCTGGGGAAGGGGTCAACCACTCCTGCGACGCCATGACGCATGGTCTTAATTTACTCAGGTCTTCTGGGTCAGGAGAGAGGGGACTCTGTGTGTGTGTGTGTGTGTGTGTGTGTGTGTGTGAGAGAGAGAGAGAGAGAGAGAGAGAGAGAGGGAGAGAGAGAGAGAGAGAAAGAGACATTTGTGGCAGCTGGCTATAAGTCACAACCCAGCAACATGAAGGGGTTGGGCTTTAGCCCAGACTCTGGGCTTATATGAGAAAATGAGAGCCCAACAGTGGAAGATGTGGATTAGCACTCCCACCCTCAATTTCTTTGTGAATGTTCTTATAATCCCAGTCCATCTAGGCTATGTATATACACATAGTACATGTGTCTTTCTGCATTTGGAGAAAAGCTGTCTCAAGTTATATTGCTTTTTACATTGTATTTTAATATTATCCCCTGGGCCGGGAGATTGCTCAGTAGAATAAGCACTTGCCTGGCAAGTGCAAGGGCCTGAGTTCAATCCCATTCCAAAAAAAAAAAAAAAAAAAAAAAAAAAAAATTATCCCTTGTGGTATTTTGCAGATCTTTGAGCTCTATCTAGAAGAGCTATATCCCCCTCTAAGCATACTAGAAACTTAATATCTGAACCTGTCATCTCGCAAAATGGATCACCATGGAGCTACTGCCTCTTCCAGAAAGCCTTCTTTGGCACCCCTCAAATTGTCTCTGCAACACATTTCCAAACATCACACCTCCCCAATAAACCACCTATCACACTCATTTTAATGACATGTCATTTTCACAAAGGATTATTAGCTGGAAGAGGCAGGGTCCCTGTCTGTTTTGCTTACCTTGCCCAGGGGTTATAAAGTAGCAGAGCCTGAGTAAATATTTGTTTACTGAATGGATCAAGTTGACATGGACTGACAGGTGCTCACCTTACGGGCTAGCCCTAGGAGAGAGTACTGATAAGGGAGGTGGGGGTGAGATGATCACTCTTCTGGTTTGTTCGCCTGAGCCTGAGGGTTCGCTAAAATGCAGGAGTTTTAGTTGTAAAATCTAGATGGTCCCGAATAAAGTTAGGTGGCTGTCACCTCTAGGCATGGAACATCTAGAAGAAGGTCTGAAGGAAGAAAGGGGTGTGCAGAGAGGAGGCAGCAGGGTGCAAAATATAAATTTTGCCTCCCCTATGAATTATTTGTGAGGAGCTTGTGACTAGAGCTCCTGTATCCACTGCTGAAGTTAGTCCTGGTGGATTGGGTTACAGAGGTGGGAAGGTGGGCATAGGTATAGTGAGGAGGCAGCAGTGAGGTGGTGACGAGTAGTCGGGAGAAGGTGACCATTGCTGCATTTGAAAAGTAAATGAGGCAGTGCAAAGGAGGTGGCGGCCATTTCTCCAACCACATCCACAGGATCATCACACAGATTAGGAGGTGAGAGGCTTGGTTCTTAGTTTCTACCTGTTTCTACCCATGAATAACTGGTTGGCTACAGATATTACTTTTGGTTTCAGAGAAGCTACAAGAGCTGTCATTCTTAGCTCCATAATTTCACTGTGTGTCATAATACCCTGGAGGGCTCCCTAGACCACAGACTGGTGGGCTCCATCCTCAGAGTTTTTTATTCAGAAGATATTGGGGAACCCTAAAATTCACAGTTTGCAGAGGTCCCCAGGTGCTGCTAAGGTTGAGTACCCACAAGTTTGAAAAGGACAGTCTTGGTGCCACCAGAGTCTAGTTCGAATTTCAGTTCTCCCTTGAGTACATTTCGTAACACTTCCTAGTCTCAGTTCTTGTTTGCAGAAAGTTAAGACGGAAATGAGATAATGCGAGGAAACGTATTGCAACCTATGGCTGAGATCCAGCAGCTACCAGTGCTAGGGAGCTGGACCGCCACATGTCCAGGGACCTTGGAACTCTAATGCAACCAACATTTGTGTCAACCCAGATGAGCAAAAGGCCGTCGATCAATAGGTGCTGCACAGGATTTTGATAAAACTTCACAGAGCGAGCTGCCAGATCACCTTCCCAGTTCCCACTGTGTGGCTTTTCACTTGTGTGGGCCAGTTCCCTCCCCTCCTGCTGCTCTGAGATTTTTCCCTGTGGTAGGAACTGATTTCCACCCTCTATCAGTGGCCTTCTGCTCAGCACTCCTTGTGACTACAGAGACAGCTGGCCAGCAGAGAAAGTGGAGTGGGAGGAAAGCTAACCCGAGAAAGGAATCAAAGTTCACCAACAAGACAGCCTGTCTAATTGGGCTGATAAGCCACTGGCAGGGATCAGCGAAACCTTTGGCAGGATCAGCTGGGTCTCATCAGCAGCTGACAACAGGCTTTGTCCTTCAGTTCCTGCCATTGTCATGACATTATGACATTAAAATGCCTTTGTGGGTTATTGCTGTACTGGCTGCATGTCTTGGATATGCAGAGACAATTTTGTTCTGTATGTGAAGGAAATTCTTCAATAACTGTCATGAAAATATTCTACTTCATGTAACTTGTGACACTCATTCCCACATCTAAAAAGAAACTCTTAAAATTATGCTGTGGAGAGACTGACTGGCTTAACTCCTGAGCAGTCATGAGTGTCCCTTCTAGCTTCCCAGCACAGGCAGTGACTGGTCTTGGCCCATTCTGGCCTGGTCCCAGCAGCCCTTCCTGCGATGATTGACATCGGCAAAGCTCACACATATCTTGCTGCAAATGTGGCCCACACTCCCATCACCAAGATCATCTAACAGCATCAAGATTAGGGTAGTAGAAGGCTTGCCACGGGCCTACAGCCATGTGATTTGAGGTGATTTCAGTGGAAGGCAGGGGTTTAGGTTATTGCTCTGTATTCTTCCACAAAGTCAGGACTTTTGTTTTTCATATATTAACCTCTTACTGTTTAATGACTTTCTCATAGCATAGTCTTTGAGTTTCTTTCCAGGACTGATTCATTTGCAAATTTCAAAGGAACTGTTTGCTGGCTCATACACAAGAGCCTGGTAGACCTGATCTCTAAAATGAGTATTTCCTGATCTCAGAATCACCATCATTTAGACAGAAGGATCCTTAGAGACCATCTTCACAGGCACACTTAACCTGGGTCTTCAGATGGCTTTTAGCATTTTGTAATTCTATGCAAAAATGTACACGTATTTGCACATATGCAATTTTCTTGAGAAAGTCTAGATTTTGTCACAATTTCAGAGGGGCTTTTGCTGCACACACACACACACAAACACACACACACACACACACTCACACACAAATTGTCCTGCTGAATTTCCTTAAAAAACAGATAGAAAGATAATCCTGAAGGACTGAAAATCTTTTCAAAGTCTCACAAGTTGAGAACAGGGCAGGAAAAGGCCCCTTGGCTCTCAGCCCAGTGGTACTTCCTACTACCCCATACTTCTTCTTGATGTTGGAAACAACACTCTTTTTGCTGTAGCCATGATTGCAATGAAAGCACCCGGAAATAAATGTATTTATCTGAAAAAAATTGTATCAGAAACAGACACTATACCACATCACCAACTGATAGCTCAAATAAAACTTAATTTTGGCAACATATTTAAACTCATATATACTGGTTGCGAATTACTATTTTCTTGGGGTTCCCACTTTTAGTCAACCATAAAGGCTCCAGCTAAGAATTTGTAACTTAGGATTCATGAGGTGTTCACAAGAGCTACACGCCTGTTTCAGTGTGAGAAAAGTTTCGGTAATGGGTACAAGTAAGTTACAAGGAAGTTAAAGTGGTGAGGAATGAGAGTTAGAGAAAACGGGTGCGTGGGTTTAGGGAGAGGGATGAGTGGTAGGATTAGCCAAGGAAATGTCCCAAGAGCCTACCTTTCCACACTCCCCCAGCCTCTCCTTCTCCAGGAGTTTTTGGGACTCCTTTTCCCAATAGGCCATCAGTGCCTCTCTGCTGAATGTCCCTGTGGGCGTTTTCTCAGTCAGACTCTTTTGCCTTAGCCCCACAGGAAGGTTACGATCAGGTTCAATGTCTTCTAGCTCCCTCTCCAGCTCCTTCAGCTCCTCAGCTGACAGGGAAGCCAGGAGTTCATCCTCATCAATGGATTCATATTTACTAAGTCCTCTTCGGTAGCCAAAGGTAGACATGGTCCCTGCTTCGTCAGCCCCACAGGTTGCTCTCAGAAGCAGGCATTCAAGGCAGCCAGAGGCAGGCAGGGAAGTGTGTGGGCCGGCTGGGCAGCAGCTGGTGCCGGGAGGGGCTGCAGTAGCCTTTTAAGCATGGTGATGTGGGGCTGTGACAATGTGGGGAGGAGTGTGAAAGCGTGGGCTGTTTTCAGCATCAGACGTCAGCGAGACATTTGAACACAAAGAATGTCCCTTCAGTGGTGGATGGAGGTCCCAGAGGCAGTGGGGATTATTGACATAGTGGCCAGGGCCATATTTAGCTGAGCCTGATAGCTCGTGAGGACAGGCAGAGAGTGTTTGAGACAGGGAGTGATGCGGTTCTTCCCACTCGGGTTCAGACTACAAGGGAAGAAGCCTTACTATGAAAATGATTCGCCACTACTCCGTGGCCAGGAAAAGATCCTTTCATTAGAATCTTAAGCGTTGAGAAATGATTCTGCAGTACTCCAGGGGTGGTTATTTTTGTTCTCCTATAAACATACTGCAGGTAATGTGGATAGAAATAAAGGTGCAATGATGCAGGACTTCATAATTTTATTGTACTTTGCAGCTTACAAAGCATTTTCCTATCATTTTTCCTAGCCATAAATCCTGTGAGATAAATAACATGATCCTGACTACAGATTTTGGCAATTGAAACACGGAGATTAAGTGAAGTATGTGAAGCCAGAGAGCAGGCAGGGCAGTGGTATCTTTCTCCACTGGGTCAAATATCTTCCTTTTCCTTCTTTTGCACATTAGTAAAACACTAGATCCTCAACCAAAACATTAATAATAGCACTGGGCAGGCTACTGCGCCCTCCCAGTGCTAAGCATGCCACATGTTTTATCTCACTTAATCCCAAAACCCTTTAAAATGTATACTGCTGCCCATATTTGACTAGCATGGCTTAGGGAAGTTAAGTAAGTAGTTTAGGAGCCAAAGCAAGAACTGGTAATGTTGGAATTTATATCTAAGCTGAAAATTAAAGAGATGCTAATTTGTAAATATGCATATATTCTTGTTAGTATGATAAAATCTATAGATACCTTATAGTATCTCATGATAATAATGAAATTTTAGCATTTATCTATTACAACATATATGCCTAGAAATATACATTTATCAGTTCATTTATCATATATGACATTTCATTCTAACACTCAGCAGTTGATGAATATTTATATTCTTTCTAAGATTTGATGATGTATAATTTTGCTGTGAATATTTGCATACAAGCCTTTGTCCATATATTTTTATAAATCTTGGGCAGACATGCAGGAATGTAATTACTGGGTTATCTGATAGAGTCACTTTTAAAGAAACTACAAGCATTTTCCAAAATGATTGTGCCATTTACACTTTCATCAGCAAAAGAAAAGAATTCTGAGTTTTCTACACCTTTATCTGCTCTTTGTATTTCTGATAATAGTCATTTTAATGAGTTTCAATGATGTTGAACATAACATGGTATCTGTTAGCTATCATGTGTCTTCTTTGGTAATATTATTCAAGTCTTATGCTTATTTCTAAATTGAGTTGTCTTTTTGTTGAGTTCTGAGATCTTCCCATATTTTATTTTATTTTTTCACATATTTTATACACAAATCAAAAATAGGGCTTAAATATATTTACCTATTCTGTAGTTTTGTCCTTTAGTGTCTCTTGAATAGCAAATTTTTTAATTTCAATAGAGCATAATTCACCATTTTTCTTCTATTGCTAGCATTTTGGTCATATAGTTGTTTCCTAACCCAAAGCCTCAGAAGTTTACTCTTTCTTTTCCTAATAGATTTATAACCTTAGATTTCTATATTTAGACTTCATATTTGACTTAATTTGTGTTTGTGTATGTGTGCATAAAATAAGGACATAATTTTATGTTTTGCATACAATATTGGGTTATCTACACATGATTTATAGGATCACCTTCCCATCTTTATGGGAAATTCACTGACGATAAATGTAAGGATATATTTCTGAGCAGTCACTTCACTCCATTGACTTATCCTTCTATTCATATGGCAATACCATATGGTTGTAGTTACTGTGGCTTTGTAGTATGTTTTGACAAGAGGAAGTGTAAGCCTTCTAATAACTGTTTTGTAGGAAGGATTTGGCTAAATATTTCGATTTTAACTCATTCTGGTATTTGACCTCCAATTAATTATGACAGTTTTCAGTGATTCTAATGAGAGAAATAATGAGATTAAAATGATTATTATTTTTTAATACAAGACATTTATCATATTTATAAGGTACATTATCATATTTTCATTCACATTGATATTGGATAATGATCAGATCAAGGTAATTAGTTTCCTTGGCTTTGTTTTTTTGTAATTTACTGTCTTTTTTTTTCTTGACAGAACTGGGGATTGAACTCAGGTCCTTGCACCTGCCAGGGAAGCACTTATTTTACTGAGCCATCTCTCAGGCCCTATTAGCTTTTACTGTCTTTTTTTTTTAATTTTTAATTTTACAGAAGGGTCTACAGGGTGTTCAGGGTCTCACTACTAGATCAGACTCATAGTGATCCACCTGTTTACAGCCTCCCAAGAGCTGGAATTACAGGTGTGCACCACCACTGCCAGTCTTAATTGCCATCTCAGTGCACCCCCGGGGACGGGGCAGGCACGGCAGGCCCAGGGATCGAACCCCTGGCCCCTGTGCCAGCTTGCAGGCACTTTAATCTGCTGAGCTATTTGACTGACCCACCTGGCTTTGTTTATAAGCTGTAGCCCAACCTTTGTGTAGTATCAGTGGAGGCATACCCATTATTTGAAAATGAGTGTGACATTATAACAATAATTTAATATGAAAGCCAAATATAGTAAATGAAATGAGCTATTCAGTTCTATAATGACATTTTAGATAAAAAAGGATAATTATAGTTATGTAAAGAACTCTTTCCAAAAGAAAAGAAAATATAAACCAATTATAACACAAATTCATTACTTTAATAATTATGTATTAGTCAAAAAGAAATGGTGACTTCTATGCAAGTTTTCAGGTACATAATTATGTAAAAAATAATAGAGCTCTTTTTTCTCTTTTATGGTCATAATTATATATATGTATTTTTTCATTTTAAAAATTTATTCTTTATTAGGACATATTTGTGGTATATAATGTTTAAGTTTTGAATTCTTTGAAATTTATCAAACCCACAACACATTGGATGCAGTGATCAGTACTAACGGAGTATTTTTTTTTGTGTGTGGAGTTTACATCTGAATTAGGAGAGACAGACATGTAAATAAATAACATGTTGGAAATACAGAACATATCAGGTAGAAATTCTGTGGAGAAAAACAGAACAGAGTAAAGGGTAAACAAGAAGCTTGTAGTAGTGATATTTCACATCGGAAGATTTCAGTAATAAAGTGACCTCAAAGTAAGGAGACCTTATAGACCTATGGAAGTAACAGTGTGCTACATGCAGATTATAGATAGACACCTAGTGTATCTACAAAATTATTGTTCAGATAGTCACAGAATCACCGGCTCTCAGATTTGAAAAAAACCTTTCAAATACATTAATGTTCAATTGTCTGTAAGTGATTGCCTATTGTTTTCCTTGAATATCGTCACTAAGAAAGAGTACATTCCCAAAATTCATTCCATTGTTGGATGGCTAAGATCTGCAGGCAGTCTTTGTTTCTATTCAGCTGAAACTGGTTGGAATATCAGTCTACGTGTTCTCAGTTCCCTCAGCAGAATGGCTGTCAGTATATAGTCTCACTTGGGGTTTCTTCTGCTGACTCATAGGTGTCGCATGAATGACTATGCAAAGGGTTCCAAAAAAGGAGGCCTTAGCACGCTTTGTGTTGGGACAGCAGCACTGAAAAACATGCTGCCTCTCCAGGATGCTGCATTAGGAGCAGTAGCCATCCAGACCCTTGGGTGCAGTACATTTGTTATAAGTCCCTCTGCTTATAATAATAACCATAGCTCGGTTCATGGACTCTTCCTGTGAGTAATCTCCACAAGCTCAATCTGTTAGATAAAAATATGTTGACTAAACAAACTGCTATTTCACAGTGGCTAAACATACATATTGAATAATTTAAATTTCTTTAGAAACTTCTCTAAAGCAAGGGAAAGAGTCCAAATATATATGTATTCTGTATATGTTTGCATTTGGGAATTTTTACTTGGTCACCTTGTGTTTTGTATAGAATTGTTCCTAATCAACAATACTATAAGCTTTTTAAGTATTAGCATTTTTGATTTAAAAGTTCAGTCCCTTGGGAAAAGATATTTTTACATTGACATCCAGTACTTCCTTTATAGGCATCCAGTGTTCACAGTACCATTGTTTGAGACAGCGCAGTATCTGCCTCTACTGAGCTTCTGGATTCTCAATTAGATACCCTCAGATAGCACTCAGTATCCTGGGAATTGACTATCTAATGAAAATTGAGTTTTTCCTTTCAGTCTGTATTTCCAGTTTAGTTTGCTCTAGAATCTGTTATCTGTTTGTTTATTCAATACAGATTTACCAACCACTCACTACAACATAGCTCTGTGCTGGGAGTTAGGATTACAATCAGAAAAACAGAAATCATTCCAGCCTCTCCTCTCAAATGGGCCATCTTTATGGGAGAGGGCAAACAGCTGACAGTAACACAGCACAGAGCTGCCTCCAGGCCAGAAGCCAGGAAGAGGAGAGGAAAGGAGGGATGGGGAGAGGGAAGGAAGGGGAGGGGAGGGGAGGGGAGGGGAGAGGAATTGCAGACAAAGACAAGGACAGACTTAGAGAAGCTACAAAGTTGGAGAACCTTTCCAGGCCAGGAGAAGGCCTCTCCACAAACACAGGTGTGTGAAGGCAAAAACCACAACTGGACTTTGACACAACAGTCGGGGAGAAGATGGAAAGGAGGCAGAAGCTTTCCTGATTCCCCTTCTGTTGTAAAGTTATTGCTCCAGGGTACCTTGTTCCCGTTCCGCCTTTTAATACCCATCAGCAATCTTCTCTGCACATGGTTAAGTGTTTAATTTATAAATGTTAAATGTTTGATGCGAAGGGCTCTCTAGACCATGCCAAGGACTGTTGAACTTTAGGGTCATCTACCACCAAGTGATTATCTCTAATTTCATTCCATGGCCCCCATCCATGGCCATCATTTG